CCTTCTGTTTTATAGACGGATTCCTTCTGTTTTATAGACGGATTCCTTCTGTTTTATAGACGGATTCCTTCTGTTTTATAGACGGATTCCTTCTGTTTTATAGACGGATTCCTTCTGTTTTATAGACGGATTCCTTCTGCAGCATCCACTAATTGGTCGGATGGTTGCATTTATAAAAGCTTGAACAATTAGAACAGAACCAACAGAACCAAATGTTTCCCACTTTTAGAGGTAGATTTAAGCCGAATCAATTTCAACCAAAAACGATTATCTGAGCAAACGGGGCGAGAAATGGAGGTTGTTTTGGCCTCTTGTTTCGTAAAGCTGTTCAGAAGATGTCTGCCATCAGAAAGCTGTCGGGTGCTACAGCAAAAATTCTTTAATATCTCATTAAGTTTGCAGCGCAGCTTTATACCAACATTCTTTATGTTAATATGCTGATTAGGAAACATCTCTGTGTTCGGATCGAGCTCACATGAGTTTGTGTCTGTGTGTTTAGGAAACCAACATTGCTCCATTCACAGCCTCATCCAACCAGGTCTACGTTGTTTTCCAAGGCCAGGCGTCCATCTTGCCTTCAGGCTTCAGGCTGACGTGGAGCAGCTGAAAGGAAGCTGTGATCTGCACCACATCTTAATCACTGTTAAAGCAAATGACTGATGAAAGTGTTTATATGTATGTAATGAACCATGATATATTAAAATGACAACCTTGTTCTTTGATCTGGACTGTAGTTCTTTTGTTATTAAAATTATTGCTGCTGGGCGTATGTGAGAGCCACACCACATGTTGGGCTGATGTTTCTGGGATCCAGCGAGTAGAAAAGGTCAGAGAGAAATGGGATCATGAGAAATGTGCCAGCATAGATTCAAGAGTATGAATACAAGAGTGTGTGGGTCTGCCAGGATATTAGGTAACGCCCACTGAGCAGAGAAACAGGCTATGGAGTTCATCGTCTCCATTCATCAACATCAGTTTGGCTCAGAACCAAAATTAAATCCATTTCCATCCATCCATTTTCTGACACGCTTTATCCCAAGTGGGGTCAGGAGGGGTCCTGGTGCCTATCTCCAGCTGTCAGTGGGCGAGAGGCGGGGTCCACCCTGGACAGGTCGCCAGTCCATCGCAGGGAAACACATAAAATCAAAATAAAATGCTTGATAAATTCAGAGGAGTTGGAACACCTGCTTTAATAAGAAAATCTTTGCAAACATCTGGAATCCTCAAGAGGACCTGAAGTTCACCACATACAACATCTGGAGTTCCCCAGAGAGATCAACTGGAGCTCCCCAGAGAGAACACCTGGAGTTCTCCAGAGAGAACATCTGGAGTTTTCCAGAGAGAACATCTGGAGCTCCCCAGAGAGAACACCTGGAGTTCTCCAGAGAGAACACCTGGAGTTCCCCAGAGAGAACACCTGGAGTTCCTCAGAGAGAACATCTGGAGTTCCCCAGAGAGAACATCTGGAGTTCCTCAGAGAGAACACCTGGAGTTCCCCAGAGAGAACATCTGGAGTTCCCCAGAGAGAACATCTGGAGTTCCTCAGAGAGAACACCTGGAGTTCCCCAGAGAGAACATCTGGAGTTCCCCAGAGAGAACATCTGGAGTTCCTCAGAGAGAACACCTGGAGTTCCCCAGAGAGAACATCTGGAGTTCTGTAGAGAG